GAAGCAACAGACTATTGAACAATGAATGGGTCCTGGAACTAAATGACAGTGAAAACAATGTCTCAGAACCTCTGGGACACAATGAAAGCAGTCCTACAGGGACCTTTACAGCTCTACATGTTGATGAAGAAATCAGAGACATTGCAAATACTATGAATGATACACCTTAAAGGATTTTCGTAAAAAGGGAAAAAAAAAGAATAAGCCAAACCTCAAGTAAGTAAATGAAAAGAAATCTTTATGATCAGTCCAGAAATTAATGAAATAGAAATGAAAAGAAAAACATAATCATTGAAACTAAGAGTGGGTTCTTTGAAAAGATAAATAAGATTGACAAACCAAACTAACCAAAAGAAAGAAGACACCAACTTATACAATTACAGGTGAAAAGGGAACCATCACACCAGATACCAGTGAAATGAAAAACATCAGGTCTGGAGGTTAGAGACAGCTCACTGGGTAAAAGCACTGGTTGCTTTTCCAGAGGACCTGGGTTCAATTCCCAGCACCCACATAGTAGTTCACAGCTGGTCTATAAGTCTAGTCCCAGGGATCTGATGGCCTCTTCTGGCCTCCTTGGGCACTGCAAAATATGATGCACAGACATACATTCAGGCAAAACACCCATACACATCAAACTAAAACATATAAACAAAAACATAACTTATACAAAACACCAGGTCATGTGTTGAAAATATATATTCCACTAAGTCAGAAAATCAAAAAGAAATGGATGAATTTCTAGACAATGTGACTAACCAAAATTGAACCAAGATGAAATGAAAAGCTTAAAAAGATCTATAACATGCAATGGGATTTAAGCAGTGATTAAAGCTCTCCCAACAAAAAGCAGTCCAGGCCCAGATGGAGTCATGGTGATGTTTATGAAGCCCTCCAATGCTTCTCAAGCCACTCCATAGAAATGGAAGAAACACTTCCAAACCAAAGGCAGATAAAGACATGGAGTGAGAGAATCAACAAACTAATTCCCATGATGAACTTAAACTAAATAATTGCAAATACATCAAAAAGATCATTCACCATGATGAAGCTGGTGGTGCTACTTGATCAGAGATACAGGAACGCAACAGATGTGAGCCAATAAATGTTCTAAGTCACACAAATGGAGCAGAGGACAGAAACCCCATGGACATCTGGACAGATGTAGAAAAAGCGCAGACAAAACCTTCCATTCCTTTATGGTAAAGGTTCTAACTTGGATTAGGAAAAAAAATCGTAATATAATAAAGCCTACATATGACAGCCTACAGCCAACATGATATTAAATGGGTGGAAAACCCTCAAAGCATTTCCACTAAAATAAGGAACGAGACAAAGGTGTCCAACTTTTCCACTCTTCTTCAGTACAGTCCTAGAAGCCTTAGCTAGAGCAAGACAAGGGGAGCACATAAAAGGATACAAACAGCAAAGGAAAGATGCCAAAGGCCCCTATCTGCATCTGCTATGATTGTATACACGAGCCCCTAAAGACTAACCAGAAAACTATTAGAACTGATACACACGTTCAGTGGCAGGACACAAAAGCAACACACAAATCCTTCCTATATATCAATGACAAAGAAACTGAAATCTTGGAAGTAATCCGATTTTTTTTTTTTTTTGGTTTTTCAAAACTGGGTTTCTCTGTGTAACAACCTTGGCTGTCCTGGAACTCACTCTGTAGACCAGGCTGGAGTCGAATTCATAGAGATCTGCCTGCCTCTGCCTCCCGAGTGCTAGGATTAAAGGCATGTGCCACCACTGCCCAGCAGTGATCCAATTTTTAACAGCCTCAAAAAAAAAAAAAAAAAAAAAAAAGTACCTTGGAATAAACCTAATTTCAGCATTTGGGAGGCAGAGGCCAGCCTGCTCCACGGAGTGAGTTCCAGAACAGCCAGGACTATTACACAGAGAA